ACTTTGTGTTACATATTGAGGTTATGGCAATGGCTTTTGAACCTAGGCAGTTGATTTTAACTTTGCCCATGTTTTCAACTTAGAGCATATCACTCCTAGTTTACTTTTTCGACATAACTTTTATGTCCAAAAAATTCTTACGGACGATGCCAATAAAATAACAATGAAACTACTTTTCCAATTTTTTTAACAAAACAAGGTGAATTCTGCTACTCTGGTGAGCAACAAAATACCCACAAGAAGAAATTGGGACTATCTTTTATGTTGTACCTCTGGAGTGAAAATTAATAATTAGATTTAGATGGAGAATAAATGACATTTATTAGGCGAAAAGAAAATGCCAAAAAAGATATTGTAAAGAAGTCTTCCATACCAGGTATGTCTTTGGGTATTTATACGTGTTTACTTCCATGTACACAAGTGAGGGATTCCATCCATGTATCTAGTGGTTACTCGACTCACTAGGCGATTAAAAGGATCAAAGGTAAATATATAGTGGTTACCAATCAACGAAAAACACGTCTGAACAATATCGAGCTTCCTAGTGGTTGAGCTTCTATTGGTCGATTGATCATCGTGGTAATTGGTAGACCATCCAGCAATCGATCAATCATCATGGTGGGCAATCATCTACAAAAGTAGTAGATAGATCATTTTTGCTTGGTTTACTATTGTGTCCATTACTTGTACCACATAACTTCAATGTCGAATTAAACACAACTTACATTTCTAATATTGCTTAAAAGAGGATTTTTTTACTGGCACTAATGTAGTAAATTTAACTTTTCAGAATATTGATATGTGACCTGATATGAACTTATGTAGCAATAGTAGTTCCAAAACCCACATAAGATTGAATCACAACCATAAGAAAGCTAAAATCTTGTTTGAAGCTTGACCTAACAATTTGAAGAATTAAGGAACCAAAATTATAAAGTAACTTGACCTCTTAATCATAAAAATTATGAACATTGCTATGAAATTGTTGAACGATACAAAGATGAAATCTTTGATAAGTTCGAAATTGAAATAAAGAACAAGATGAAAACAAACTTGCCATGAAGTAATCTCTCAATAGTGTGTTAAATTTACAATGAAAAGAATAATCCCTAAATATAGGGAACTCAGAAAAATACTAAACAAATAATAAATATTCTAAAAGTTTTCAAAACAAAAGAATTCCGACAGTATTAAAAAATTGGAAAACGTGTCCAAATTTTTGAGCTATGCAACTGCATAGTGCACTTAGGTATGCTAGCGTGATAGGCCTTCTTTTCTTCTCGAGTTGGTTTTGTATTTTGAATTCGGCTGCATGCATGTTAAGCCTATGCGGTTGCATGGTTTGCCAGAATATCCTCTTCATCCTTTATTTGAATCGAATGCACCCATCTTGACTCTTTTTCCATGCCTACATGAACTTTGATGTTTTGCTCGTTACGTTCGAACTCTCAGCCCATGTAGCTTGAACAAGTAATCCCATAGCTTTCCTGATCTTTTTTGCTCGCAATCTCGTCATTAATCATTTTTCCACAATTAATGGATTCTTCCACAGTCAACGAATCATTGATAGCCTTCCTCTTATGGTTCTAATAAATCCCTCCATCTTCAAAAGGATTCATCCTCAAATCTTCACGTGCATCAAATAGAAATAGATCGAAAACATTGAAAGTAACAGAAATATTATACTCACCTTGAAGATCTAATTTATAGGCATCGTCATTGATTTTTTTCAAGCACTTGGAACGATGCATCTCCTTTCGGTTGCAATTTTGACCTCGCTTGAGCCCAAAAATGCTCTTTTTCTCATATGTACCAAAAACCAATCACCGGGTTCAAATGTAACACTCCTCCACCCTTTATTAGCTTGAGATGTATAGTATTTATTCTTCTTCTCAATATGAAGTCAAACTTTCTCATGAATTGATCTCACCAATTTAGCCTTCTTCTTTTCATTTATACTACCTGTTTTATCAACAGGTAAATGAATTAAATTCAAAGGAGTTAGTAGATTAAAATCATATACAATTTCAAAAGGAGTATAAAAAGTAGTAGAATGTGTGGCCTATTACATGCAAACTTTATAAATGACAAGCAATCCTCCTAACTTTTCTAGTTCTTATTGATTATAGTACACAAAAGTTGTGTCAATATTCTATTAACTACCTTAGTTTGTCCAACTGTTTGTGAGTGATAAGTAAAAGAAAATAATACTTTAGTTCCTAGTTTATCCCATATAATTTTCATAAATAGTTAATGAACTTAAGATTGACATATTGCCCCCGTTTGATTCTCATTTTTATTAAAATACATTTTTCTCTCTGTTCTTTTCAGTCACACATTTTTCATTAAAATAATGTTACACGTAAATCAATTTTTTTTCTTATTATTCATTCACACTTCTCCATCAATCTACTATTCTAAAATTCAATTTTCCATAAAAATGAGTATCAAACGTCCCAAAATTTTGCATGTATTTAAACATCAACAACACATCTTAAATGCTTAACATGCTCATCTACACTCTTGCTGCATACTAGAATATCATAAACTAGTAAAAATGCCCCTATGAGTGTATGTAACATATGGTTCATTAATTTCATGAAAATACTAGGTGCATTAGTAAGTTTAAAATTACTTGTTCCATAAAATTCATCAATTATATTATCTAACCTAGGTATGGGATGAAGAAACTTTACCCTGATATTGTTGACTACCTTACAATCAATGCTTATCAACTTCTCCACTTACCTTTGAAGCTCATTTATCACCTCAAAGATCAAGTCTTCAAATTCCCGCAATAAAGAATTAACAAAACTAGGGAGGGGTTTGTTAGTTTCCACTAAAGCCATCTTGTTTTCAGTATCTTTTGCATAAATGCTCACTTTTGACTTTTCTTTTCTCTCTTCTGTGTCTAATCTTTTCATTATTTTTAGTCATCTCTCTATTTTATCTCTTTTTTTTTTCTGAAGTATCAATTTCACTCTCGTTTTGACCATCTTTCTTTTTCTTCTATTCTTCACCTCTCAATTTCAATTGATCTTCATAGATTTGCTTTGGTGTTAATAGAAAATGAGTAGCTGATTTTCCATCTTTGGCAAATTGTATTTATTTTTATACTCTTTATACTATCATGACCTTCCCAACTAAATATGCCCAACAAGCATAAGAACCACGTCACACATCACCTCATCACTATACTTCCCAATAGTAAAGCTCATCAAGACTTGCTTATTAATCTTGAACTCCACATTCATTCAACTATTGCAACCTATAGGGTCAATGATGTTTTAAACTAGACAAACCCACCTAGACAAACCTAATTTCTCTACAAGAATAGTACTCGCTATATTAGTACAACTCACCCATCAATAATCATACTACATATCTTCTTGTTGACATGGCACCAGTATGAAAATCGTTCTCCCTTTGCTGCTTCATATCATCCACGTTGATTCATGTATTGAGAGCACATCTCGTAACAAGTGTTTCACCTATCACTGGGTACTCTACTCCGTCACCATCTCTAGCATCCTCCAATTCGGGTATATCACTATCACTCACCACTTTTCCATTATCATACAAGATCATTGCCCTTTTCCTAGCTACTTCATCTTTTCTCCTTGGTGGTTTGGTTTTAACCTTTGAAATAGTTCCATCATTTCTATTACTATCCTACTTTGTTTTCTAAGAAGGACTAAAACCTGAAGACCCCGAAGAATTTCTAGCTGATCTTTTTATTTTTAACTGCTTCTTCACTTTCATAGTCACATGTAACATGACCTCCAACTCTACATAATGTTATAATTCCACTTTATTGGCTATCTCTCTATTCAAAACATTCAAAATCTTAGCCATTATGGCTTTCCGATCATCCTCAACATTTGCCCTAATCATAGCTATCTCCATCTCTTTATGATAATCCTCTATACTCATTGAACTTGGTTAAGGCCCTGTAGTATTTGATAAAGATTCTTATAATAATGATTAGGTACAAGCATTTTTCTCATTATGGCCTTTAGTTCACCCCATGTTTCTATAGGCCTCTCATTAATTCTCCTCCGATTTGTTGCTAATTGATCCCACCTAAGGCTGGGCAAAACTCCAAAATCGAATCGGATCGAACCGAACTAAACAGAATCGACTGGTTCTTCTTATGTTCAATACCTAAACAGATATCTGAATCGATAACCGACGGGTTCGGTTCGGTTCTCGATAGTAGATCAAGAACCGAATTTCCTTAATTTTTTAATTTATTTATTTTAAATAAGTCAAATTATTTTATTTTTCCTAAATAAATTTGCTAAATAGTTAATTTAGCTTAAATCCAAAAATATGATTTTACTATTTCTAATTTTCTATACAAGCCCAATTTAATCAAATTGACCTAAGTTTTGCCCAAATATGTTATTCTACCATAGTGTGGTTTATACCATTCTGGAGAAAATCCAATAGAAGCTCCATAGCTAATTTCTTCATTATTGTAAGCTTGCTATCATCATTTTCCTGTGATTTTAACTAAAGAGAGACGCTAAAGATATATAACATTGGACTCCGTTATTTTGTAAGAGATAAGATTGAATATGCCATTAGTTGAATTAATTTAGCTTTGCAAATATTAAAAAATTAATTATAGTACAGAACATTGGAATCGAACCTAATCAGACTGAATCGAATGGAACCGAACCCTAACGATTTCTTAACTAAATTTGGACTTGACGATTCCACTTACTAAATACCCAAAAATTTCGGGTTTGGTTTGGTTCGGTTCTAATGAAAAGAACCTAACCGAACCGGACCATGTTGGCCCTAATCCCACCATGTGATTCCATAATCAGTAAACTCTATAACTGCTAATTTTCCCTTTTTCTCCTTAGAATAGTTCTGGTAAAAAATAAAAATAACTCCAACTTCTTTTTCCACTCTAAATACACCTCTGAATTGTTTTTGCCGAAAGAAGAGAGCTACAACTTGGAATGAAGGAATTTTATCTTCATGCTAACCAAATTCCAATCAACCCCATCCCTACTAAAGTCTCTATAATCTTTTTCTGGCCTTCTTTTATGCATATTTCCTCTATTTCTCATCCTAGCTACTTCGTTCTCCAATAATTGATCATCATCATTCTCATTACCCAATTTAGTCTCATCATCCAACTCAACTTCAGGGTCACACCTACATTGCCTCCTAACATTAAGAACTCCTCTAGGTTGCCCCTTTTGTGAGTTTGCAATCATCGTATCATGTTGATCCACTATATCTCTACTTTCTCCAAATACCACATTCATCCGCTCAAATTGTTGTTGCATGGCTTTCATCATGAAGGCTCGATTTTTTTCCCTTCTAGATATTGATTCTTTTTTGCAGCTAGAATTTAATTGCCTCACGTACTTGCACTTGTGTTCACTCATTTAGCTTTTTCCCTCTAATATTTTCACCGGTCTTGGTTTTTCCACTCAATGATTTCTTTCAAGTTCTTTAAGGGACTAATTAATCTCAATCAAAACATTTTTTCCCTCAGCAAGAACAAGAAATTGAAGAAGGGTAAAGACTTTAGAAAAAAGGACTCAAGAAAGGAAGGAATGAAAGAATTGAATAAAAACACAATCAAGAATTCCAAGAAAGTGGTTCTTGAAAATGATTTATGCCTTTCCACCAAAAAAGAAAAAAAAAATGATACCAATTGATGATTTGGGTAATTACTTAAAGGAAATTGCGCTTCAAAAAATTTCAAAAAAGTGTTTCTTGAAATCGAATAAGCCTCTTTTTGGCTTGAATTTTCTTTTTTACGGGAATTTTTTTCTAGAGTTTTCCTTTTTTTTTTTTACTTTAATTATGGGGAAAATCAACAAATGCAAGAAAAATCAGAAAAAAAAATTGTAGTTGGTGCACTAAGCTTAATACACAAAACAATTCTTGAATGTTATTGGTATTTATATTGATGTAAAAGACTCAAAAAATGATGGAGACTTGACGAAAAAATGGGAACTAAAAAAAAATTGCGGAAAGATAAAGATACAATCTTGATTTTAAAGTCAAAGCTCTAATACCAACTAATATAAATCCATGTAGCAATAGTAGCCCCGAACCCACACAAGATTGAATTACAATCCCAAAAAGCTAAAATCAAGGATGACCTAATAATTTTTTGAATCAAAATTATAACAGAGCTTGATCCATTAATCACCAAAATTATGAACCGTGCTATGTAGTTGTTGAATGCCACAAATATGAAATCTTTGATAAGTTCGAAATTGAGTTCAATGGAAAACAATAAGAAAGCAACCTTGCTTTGATTTAATCTCTCAATAATTTGTTGTTTTTACAACGAAAAGAATGAGCCATATATATAGGGGAACTCATAAAAACCTTAAACAAAACGGAAATAATCTAAAAGTTACAAAAACAAATGAGCTCTGATGAAGATAACAACTAAAATACGAGTCCAAATTTTTTAATTGTGCAGCCAAATATAGGCCTTCTTTTCTTCTTGGGTTGGTTTTGAGTCTTGACTGCAACCGAATGCATATTAAGCCTATACGGATGCTTGGTTCACTGGAATCTCCGTTTCATCCTTTACTTGAATCAAATGCACCCGCCTTGGTTCTTCTTCCATGCCCAAGCCTCTCGGCCCATGTATCTTGAACAAGTAATCTCATGACTTCATTGATCTTCTTTTCTTGTGATCTGGTCATTGATTCTTCTTCCACAATCAACAGATCATTGCTAGCCTTCGTTTCATGGTTTTCATCGTAACCTCATTTTTCCACAAACAGGTATGTTTAGATTTTTGGGGTTGGGTTAGGTTGGGATGGAATGGGTTGGTTGTGGTGGGGAAGAAATTGGTTGAAGTGTGTGAAAAGACTGTGTTGCCCTTTTAAAATTATTTATTTTATACCTCTTTAAGTGGATTTAACGAAAACAGTAATGAGGATGGATGATAGGGGAGTCTTGCTCACTTAAAAGGTCATATAGGGGAGCTTTCCACCAATTTTACAGGATATGGTGATACTGCGCAATAGAATGAAAGATTAGGAGGATTTTGCAAAATAAGCCTTTTTTTACGTGTACGGTACTTAAATATAGATAATGTAGGAGTCAGGACGATATCCATTATAGCTACCCAGTAATTCTACTATAGTAAATCTCACGATTCCAACTAAAAGTGTCTCTTACATGGTTAAACGGCCATCGTTTTGTTAGATACTAACCCTTTTATCTTCTTAGTATCCATCCAAAAAGAATGAAAAATGAAAGTCAATGCACAACATACCCTACCCAGCAACCTAAATTTGTTTATATCTACAAAAATTAATTGAAGGGCTATATCCATTTGAGATCATGATTCAGGAAGAACCCTACCCCCGCCCTCCGGGTCAACAATGAGTGGTTATAATCAACAATTAATATATTTGTACAATTATTTTGTACAACATTGTTGACAATGATGGGTGTGGCAAAAAAATATTGATTGAAAAGATTGGTTGTTTTTTAAACTGTCTAATAACAACATGCTATGTGACATACTGTCAACAATATTGTCAAATTCATTGTACTTGAAGCATAACTCTATAATCAATGATTGGGAGTTATGACTCCTGCGTGTAATGCAAAATGTTTGTCCATCCCTTCAATTATTTTCAATCTAAGCTGGAAAAACATGGCTACTCAAAATAAACTGTATACAGACGAGCAATGACACAAAATTTGGTGTGAATTACAAATAAATATCGTTGCTCCATCATATGGCATGATATAGTAATTTTTATTTTTATTTTTGGTACAAAGTAAAGATGGATATAAAACGTGTTTAGCTAAGTTACCTATAATATTTTTTTCCCAAACTTAAGTTTAATAGACAATTATGCTACTAACATAACTTATTTTCTGGAAAGAAAGTCTTAACAGCCGAAAATGCTCAAGAGATGAATAATTAAGAGATAGAAGATTTGCTTAATTACTCAAATTAACAGGAAATAAATAAAATGGCATTTGTCACCCACGATATGTTACTTGGGATACAGTAGAGGTTCATCTTTCCCTTGGCTTTTAGGTGAATGTAGGTGAAAGTTGAGGTTGTAATTGGATGCCGAAATTCACCATTAATCTTTGATGGTTATAGTCGTAAGTTTTTCCTTTCTTTTCTCGTAACACAAACCTTAATGTATGTAAGAAAAATGTCTACGTTATTGTATTTCACGTTATAAATAATTCCATTGTCTCTATTTTATTCAAAGCCTTTGTTAAGTCATTAATAAGCACTATAATTCCATAAAACTAATTATCATATTTATAAGGGATATGGGTTCATCCAAATTTGTAGCTGTGTTCTTCATTGCCATGATTGTTGTGTTTGCAACTTCAATCGAGGCTGAAAATTTACTGGAAGAAATGGAAACGTGCATTAAAGATGCGATGGTCATGGGTGCCACCCCAGAGAGAGCGACCGAAGTCTGTGTAGGACAAATTGGTGACAAAGGATCGCCTTGAAACGAAAAATGCTTTTAATGCTTCTTTTGTAAGTGAAAACATGTTGGATGATTTTACTTTCATATCACTATATAATGTTCAATTCATTTTCTACGTGAGCCAATTTTGAGCCATAATTTCCTTTAAATTTAATTTTTCTTGATAATATCTTGTGATCTTAATTATCGTCCACCCTTGTAGTTTATTCTTGATATCCCTCGTTTATAGTTTGATGCTATCATAAAGCGTACTCGGGATGGCACCATCTTGAGCTTGAAGAACACAAGGGATCAAGACAAACAGGACCTCCAAACAACCTGTAAAATGTTAGGGGAGTTGTTCCCATCACTCCTCCTATGCCTAAATAAGAAAGCGATTGGAGAGAAAAATATATGCTTGAGGCTATAAAATGAATAATAATTAAAATGTACTTGAGAAATGGATAAGGTGTTGGGAATTTACTAACATAGCGAAATTTAAAAATTTTCAATTCCTATCAAGGATCTTCTTTATGTTTAGATAGAAACTATGATAAAACTTATTCCTTTAGTTAATTTTGTGAAGTTTTTTTTAATAATCTTGGAACACATAAATCACGATTTGCACACTACAACTATCTAATTGTTCAACCGCCAATAATAATCTATACAAAGAAACAAGAATGAGAAAATTCGGATTTTTCTTTTCTTGTGCTAGCAAGATTATGAAGATGTGTAATGATTTCTCAAGCCCTAACACTTTTTAATAGAAGTTTAAGTGGGTTTTGGCACGTCCATTAAACTTGACACAGTCAAATGTTTAATTAATCTAATTAATTAAAATTGGTTCATAAATTAACTATTCTAATTAATTGACTTAATCTCATTAATAAGCACCCCAAAAAATTAATTCTGTAACTATCCAACAATTGTCAATTAAATATTTAGTAGTATCATTATTCTAGTTCTCCTTATTGTGTGTGACATTAGGTTTTCGATCACGATAGCCAATAATGTGAATTATTATTTTGATCTAATCTAAATAAGATAGATTAAAATACCCTTTCAATTTATCTTTATTTACCTAGATTAATTAATTCGCATTCATAGTCCCATATTAACATCTAGCAACATATTAGGACAATACATATTACTATAAGTGTAATGTAGTATAACAAAATCAAACTTGCTCTTTTACCGTGAATTTGTAATCATTCTTCAATATAATCCGATCAATTGTGAGATATGAATGCGTGTCAATCTCGATTATCGATCATATCTTAAATCTCACTCTTAAGTCAATAGCAGTCGAAATTTCTTTTTGACATATTAACATACATTGGTCAAAAATTTCGTTATCAACTTAACTGAATGAAATATAAATCATAATCTCTATCTAAGAGCGACGAATTCTCTATTGATCATTCACAATCTTAATATGACTTTTAGCATATCTAAACGATACCGTATTAGCAACTCTCGACAGAGCAACATCCAACATTATCAAAGTATGATGGTTTTCATATAGGGCAATATAATGACCTCAAGCCGAAAAGATAAATCCACTACCGAACGTTAGAGATTCACCACTGTAGCTCAAATAGTTATCCATATAGAATCTTTGTAGCTTGTCTCCAATGTTTTGTTGTTTTGTTCTCATAACAAAACATGTACATTTAAATATCACAACATTTTACCACATGAGATCAGCTACTCACTTCATAACTGAGAAATACCACACATGATGGTTTATCTTTAATAACGACATTCGTATCTCATTATTACTTATGACTACGGATAATTTAAAATTCATTCATATATAATTTGTTTCTCACAATTACAACTCACTATAATTAACAAGTTATCATGAA